GTTGATTTCACTTAACTTATATTGTGTCGTTTATGTGTTCCCTTTACTTTGAGCAGGTTATCTTCCAGCTGGAGGAGGAAAAGTTGTTTGCATGTTAGGCTGCGTTTATGATTGCGCTCCAACTGTCAAACTCTAAACGTTGGACCCAATATTCAAAGCAGACAGATCTGGATTAGTTCAGAACTAGTCTTTATTGAACACTCAGCATGCGGCTGCTAGTCAGCTGGAGCGGATCAACCGGATCCTCTGTAGAGTTAAGAAGGTGAGTGGAATGAGCAATCAGGCCAGCCACCAGTGCCAGGATCATGACACCAACATGTGATGTTTCCATTTTTTGGCCACCATGTTACTATGGTAATATGCGTGATTGTCCTTGTCTGTGGCTTTCAGTGGGGCTGATGTCTGGATGCTGTAAGCTCTGTACCCAGAGTCAAAGTCCTTTCCTGTATGCAAAACCAAGGCGAGTAAAATGGGATTCTGATTGTGTTGTTAGCCAAGGTCAGCTCAGGGGATGTTAGGATCTAGGATGATGGAGGAAGTTAGTTTTTCATTTGCACAAACATCTGCACATCGCCGTCAACTCACAATCAGCCTGAAGCCTTGTAAGCTATCAGGCTCCATTTTCCATTTTAGAATCAAGGCAGTTTGAACCTCAGTTTAAAACATGTAACAAGCAAAAGAAAACACTAATATCTGCAGCAAGAAGGTTCTTGGTTTGATTCCCGGCCCGGGGTCTTTCTGCATAGAGTTTGCATGTTCTCCCTGAGCATTATTTGGGTTCTCTCTGGGTACTCCAGCTTCCTCCCACAGTCCAAAAACATGACTTTTAGATTAATTGGCTTCTCTAAAATGTCCTTAGGCGTGAGTGTGTATGTAAATGGTTGTTTGTCCTGTTTGTCTCTGTGTTGCCCTGCGATGGCCTGGCTACCTGTCCAGGGTGGAACCCGCCTCTCGCCCGTAGACAGCTAGAGATAGGCACCAGCACCCCTCGTGACCCCAGCAGGGATAAACATGATGGAAAATAAATGTATGAATGTACATGGAATGCATTCACTTTGGAAAAATAAACTCAAATACTTGATTAAAGAAAAACATCCATCTGACTTTGAAAATAAGGCAGTTGTGAAAACAGATTACCAGAGAAAAAGTTCTGATAGGAGCAGGAGATCAAAAGATTCAAAATAAACCTCAAAGATGAGCTTCATTGTGGCTTTAACCCCTTATTAAGGCAATTAAATCCTTTAAAAATCAAAATTTCAAGTCAATAGTGTTATTGGAATTCAGGACAAGACCTTATTGCCTTTGTAACATTAAAAAAATATGGATATTTTGATGCCAAAAAATGATATCAATGTAATAACAAGAAATGAGAAACACTCAGAGAGAAAGAAACACATTTTTTGGTCCAATATAACTTTGGAGGCATTAATGCTTATACTGGCTCTTTTTTAGTTTATAAACCTAAATATAATTGTTAACTAGGCTGATTAACTTTTTAACTTTCAATTAGCTTTTTACCTTTTTTTCTTAACTTGTTAACTTTTTTTTTCAAGTGAATTGACAGAATTATATCATTCAAGGGCTCATCTAATTGGTCAAATGCCAAAATAAGATGTACAGCCATGTAGCAGTATCTTTGCTGAATAGATGGATATAGATCTAGTGCTTCTAGATCTTACTGAGAGAGGGGGGGGGCTCTATTTGTAAGGGGGATGCAAGTAATCAGAAACTGAACCTTGCCCTATAACGGGTTAAACAGCTCTTAGGTTTTCAAACACTGACAAAGATATTACCATGAGAACACCGGGTTTTCAAAATAAAAGTTTGACTAAGTGCATTGCATCGTTTGTCCGCTGGGGGTCAGTGTTGGGTCATTAGTCCATGCAGAGTGGTGAGCTCTGATTGGTCGCCTGTGAAACATCTGTATTCAGTTCCAGTGGCTCGTGTCTCCGGCCAGAAAGCAGCAGCTGACAGAGAGCTCGGTGATCAGGCAGGAACATGCCGCTGGGCTCCTCCGGATGTTTGGATCCTCCTGCTGCGGGTTCGCTGACAGGAGAACTTCTGGCGCCCTGAAGGAAGACAGATGAATGAGTCAGGATTAGGCTGCAGCTCGGTCACCATCCGCCTATTCCTCTGGGTGATTTCTTCCCAGGATCCAGCCTTCCTGGATCTACCGGTGAGGATCCAGGTCTGCAGACCGAGGGAGGGCTGCAGACACAAAGAGGCTCACCTCTAAGCCCCCCCCTCAGTCTGTCTGCTCATATATCCCACCATTGAGAAGTTTCAGTCCATTTCCTCTGGTTGCATCGGAAAAGCTGGGATGCTGTGATTAGTTTTCATTCTGAGGAGGAAGCAGATCCATCCGGAGCGTCTTCATGCAAAGCCTGTGCAGGATCAAGATGCAATTCCGGACGGTGCTGGACGTGAAAGTTGTGGACGTGGAGAAGAGGCGGAATCCGTCCAAGCACTACGTGAGTCCTCCTCATGCTTCTCCGCCCCCTGGTTCTGTTCATACGAGGTGTGGGTCTGTGGCCTGTCCGCGGGCGCAGCGAGGCACCTGAACGCACCATTTGGTCTGCAGCTGAGGGGCTGCAGGCCAGGCTGCAACACACCTGCTCAGGAAGAACAGACAAGCCCCACTATAAGAGGAGAACAGGATCAGGGCCAATGAAAGAAAAAAAAAGAAAAAAAGAAATAATAATAGAATTGATTTTTAAAAATATTATTTCAATTCAATTCGGTTTATTTCTATAGCACAAATCCACAACACATGTCATTTTAAGGCACTTTACAGTTCACCAGATCATTCAGTGAGGTTGATTCAAAGTTTTCTAGCTAAGGAAAACCAGCTGATTGCATGTTTCAGTTTAATATGGGAAAAAGGTCACAATTCTGACTTTAATCTCAGAATTCTCACATTTTTTTCCTCATACTTGAATGAAATTTTAAAATTAGTTAACTTTTTATTACATTTTCAGTGACCCTAATACTCTTCTGTACCATCTACATTAAGGTCAGAATTCTGATATTAAAGTCAAAATTCTGAAATTAAAGTCAGTATTCTGACTTTAATAGGTCAGAAATAAGTCAGAATTCTGGGATTAAAGCCAGAATTCTGAGATTAAAGCCAGAATTCTGAGATGAAAGTCTGAATTCTGAGATTAAAGCCAGAATTCCGACTTTAATAAGTCCGAAATAAGTCAGAATTCTGGGATTAAAAACAGATTTCTGAGATTAAAGTCTGAATTTTGAGAAAAAAGTCAGAATTCTAAATTTAATCTCAGAAATAAACCTGAGAAATAAGTCAGAATTCTGACTTTAATCTCCGAATGAATTAAACCTTAATTAAAATAAGTCAGATTTACGGGATTAAAGTCCGAATTCTGAGATTAAAATCAGATTTCTGAGAATAAAGTCTGAATTCTGAGATTAAAGCCAGAATTCTGACTTTAATAAGTCAGAAATAAGTCTGAATTCTGGGATTAAAAACAGATTTCTGAGATTAAAGTTAAAATTCTGAGATTAAAGTAAAACATTTTGAGATTAAAGTCAAAATTCTGAAATTGAAGCCAGAATTCTTGAGATTAAAGTCAGAATTCTGAGAAATAAGTCAGAATTCTCACTTTAATCTCAGAATGAATTAAACCTGAGAAATAGGTCAGATTTCTGGGATTAAAGTCTGAATTCTGAGATTAAAGTTAGAATTCTGACCTTTTCCCCCCCATAATACAGTGAAATACTATTTAAAAATCAGTTAACTTTTTTTTTATTTCTTCAATGGCCCTAATCGTCTTCCATACCTCTCTGTGGTTCCCCAGCTGGCAGGTTCACTCATATCTAGCCTTGTCCTGTCATGGCTGCAGCTCATAAACCATTATCATAAAACCTGCTTATGGGCTGCAGTCTCTCTGCTGGCTATCGGGTCTGATATTGTTGTGTTGTTGTGTGATCCTGAGAAGAATGACACATTTTCTACCCAAAATAAGAATTAAAAAACAATAAATAAGCTGGACGGTTAGAATTATTCTACAGTCTCATAAATGGTCCAAGAAACCTCCTGACTTTGTTCTGTTTGGAAGACATGATAGGACTTTGCAACATCCTTCCTTGATGATGGGCTTATATAAAGCTGGTTAAAGTTAAAAGGAAGAGGAACCTGCTTATGTCACAATGTGTCTAATTGGTTGCTTTGGTGCATCATGTGTGTTCTGGGGAGCCCACAGCATGACATTTTCCTCCTGCACCGTTTCCCGTGTTAAGATGTAGGGAGGGTTTCAAAAGTTACCACTGATGTCAGTTTATTGGGTTTACTGAAATCTTCCCTGAGTGAATGGAGAGAAAAAAATCCGGGGGAAGCAAAACAGTCCACGGTCCATAATACTTCCACTACCGTGCTTGAATCTCATCACGATGTTCTGGGTTATTTACTGACCTACTCAGGTAGCCACCACTATGAATGTTTGCTTCGTGGTTCTTTGGATCTTCAAAGCTTTTAAAATAGATTTGTAACTCTTCTCAGGCTAACAGATGAGTGACCTTTTATCCCAATTGTTGCTCAGTTATGACACAGTAGTTCTTTTTTTTGCGATTAGTTTTCTTCAACCCTTAATTAGTTTTTGGGTCTGGCTGTACAAACCAAAATAAAAACATTATATATTATAATTGTAATGTCTAAAAACATTTAGACATGAAATCCTGCATTAAAAACTGCTTTTGGTGTTTACCCAGGTTATGTTTAAGTCTGTCAAACTAGCAACATCAGAAGCAATATTATAATGGAGAAATCGTCGCCGCAATTCAATCCTTTTTTTTTTTTTTTACGTTGCTGCTCATTTACAGCACGTTTCGTTTCAAAGCACAAACAGTTTAGTTAATGAACACAAAGTCAATTTCAGTTCTGCAGCAATCACCTCCCATTTAGATTGCATGGATCGACTATATGGAGTAAATTATGTTCCATTATTATTCCAAGCAAAAATTGTACTTGAAAATGGAAATTACATCCATCCATTTTGTCCTTTTTATTCCATCAGGGTCACAGATTCTATCTCTGGCCGTTTCTGGGCGAGAGGTCATCAGTTTATCACAGGGCAACACAAAGACGCACAACCATTCACACTCACATCATACAGTCATGTTTTTGGACTGTGGGAGGAAGCCAGAGTACCTGGAGAGAACCCACACATGCTCAGGGAGAACATGCAGAAAAACCCCATGTTGGGAATTGAACCCAGAACCTTCTTGCTGCAAGGCAACAGTGCTACAAACGTGCAGCCCGCTGGAACTCATATTTGAAAGAAAAAAATGTAATTTAGAAAATAAACTTTTAACACTTCTCAAAAAAAAAAAAAAAAGGTTTTGGCCATAACTTTCGTGTTATTTCATATTTAATTGTTTTCTTCTTATGTTTAATTTTTTTCATTTTTTAAAACTGATTTTATATTTTCAGATTTCTCTATTACCGATTGAGTTTTACGAATCTTATTTTTTTCGCGTTGCATTTTGCGGATCACATTCTCTTCCGTTGAGGGGGCGGGCTTTCCTCTGGAATAGGGAGCGGCGGTGCATTTCTATTGGCCTGTGTGGTCAGCATTTTTTTGAGGTGAAGAGAATGTGATCTGTAAAACACAATTCAATAAGAATGGGATTCCTTGGAAAAAAAAAAAATTAAAAAATAAAATATAATAAATTTCAATATAAAAAAACCTAAGAAAACACCAAATTGCTTTCAAATGATTTTTATTTTTATTCTTTTGTTCATGGTTTGTGTTTTCTTTGCTTGCAACAATAATGGAACAAAATTCACACCAAACCTTTTGAGCACTTCAACGAAACTGGTCAATGAGCACAAATCCAGAGTCCAAGCAAGACAGAAAGCACAGGTCAGGAAAACAAGCAGAAATCAATGTGCTTTGCTAACTATTAATCCTTGCTGACTTTTAGAGGAGGCCACGTTGAACACGTCTCAGCTAAAAGCTGTCGTCAGCACAGAATAGGGAGCGACAAATGTATGCCCACGCCAGAAAACAGCTTAGCCAATCAGACGCAGATCAGGGGAATAATCTGAAAGGAAACATCTGTGTTTAGCACAGTCAGAATTAAATCAACAACCTTTTGAAGGTGAGTGGAAAGGAAACTCCCCTTTAACACCAGAACCAGGCTCTACGTGAGCATCCATTTGTATTTAGAAAACAGAGCAGACATGATGATGAACGGTTATTTCTTCATCTATAAAAGAAACGTTACTAAAGATTAAAGGGGTCATAGAATGCAAAACTGAGTTTCCATTGTTATAGATGATGAATAACGATATTTCAGTGGGCGAAATGAACATACAGAGAAGTTCTAACCAAATCGACACCTCCTTTCTCTGCAAATCTCACAATCGTTTGGATACGGGCGTATCCAAATGAAGCCCTGAGTTGACCGTAACTCTGGGATGTTGATATGGTTCTGTACTTTGTCGCACCCCGAAATTTACATACAGACAAGCCCGCTTGTTCAGGGCCCAAGGGAGGTGAGGGATATGAAGTGTCGACTGCGGACCTCAGCAGAGAGCCATGAGCCGCCCGTCCTTAGCTGGAGGAGGGAGGCTGGGGAAGCAAGGGTTCACCTGTGTCCAGGCTACCGTCACTGGGTTGGGTTTGGTCACTCCATCCTCGCTGGCTCCCTGCCCCCGTCCAACTTGGTTCCCGGACCAGAGCTGACGGCTCGGTTCGAGCGCCCGTTGTGTTTTGACTACGTGCTGCACTGTAGTCGACCAAAATCCCAGACAATTTTGAAATCCCACCCCAGACAATTTTTTTGGTTAAAAAAGTAGGACATGTCCGGGAGAAAAAGAGGACGTCTGGTCACCCTACCATATCAACACTTTGATGTTTCAGTGTGTGAGTGCTTGTTGCTATGATGCATTTTTGCTCAGCAGCTTTGCTCGTTGTAAACCAACCAATCAGCACACAGCTCATCTAAATATTCATGATCATACCATAACAGGAAGTAAACCTGTCGTTTCATTCTAGGGCTTTAACCAGGCTTGCATTAGGGCTCATAGAACAGCAAATATGCCATTTTCATTACAACCAATGTTACACACCCTATTCAGAAACCTTAAGGGTCAGCACCACATACCCTATAGAATCATTCTATGACCTCTTTAAATAAACCCAAATACTTCCTGTTGTGTCTTTACTTTATTCCAGTTGTTAGCATATAGTTCTAGTTCTGCAAAATAAACTGGACCAAAATGAGCAAAATGATGAGCCATGTTCCTCTAAAGTGCAAAATGATATTAAATCATGTGAAGAATTGTGATTGAATCAATGACTTTTGCCTGTTGTTGTTGCAAGCAAAGAATATGTATTTTGAAATTGAATATTGAAAAAACATACTTAGTAAACTGAAATATGAAAAAAAAATGCTATTCAGAAATGAAACTAGAAAAAAACCTTTAAAATCAAACAAAGGTTTTGGG